CTAACCTAAAATAAGTACTACTAATATTGAAGGTTAAAAAAAAAAAAACCAAACTTGCCATTTTGAAAGGCACTGATGAAAATTGGTGGCATTTGCTATCTTCAAACCTGATGCTGCATTTGTTGACTTCAGTGGAAGCAGGTGGTTTAGGCTGGAATTATGCACATTTTTTTTCTATACAACTGCCTGATCATTGCTTATTGTGCACTCTTTCTGCTCTTAGATGCACAACAGCATTGCAATGCTTTAACAGGATGGTAATGAGCCTCAGACTCAACACTTGACTAAAATTCAGCCTTTTTAAATTAAGGATAAATAAATTATGTTTATTTTTAACCTAGCCAGTGCCATTCTGAAATCAAGAGAATGAGAAGTTGTGCTTCAACTGTTAGGAATATTTAAATCAGTGCCTTCTCGCAGCAGTCTGAGCAGAGGCTACAGACTGGTGGGGTTGAGCTTCCCCACGCTCAGTAAATCCCATCCAGGTCAGGGGTTTGGATTCCTGACTGGGCAATGAAGGAGCAGCTTGCCCTTCCAACGTTTACACTGTGTACACTGTTTGTTTGGCTAAATCTTCAGTGATGCAAGTTGTTAATCTAGTTTCTTACAGAGCACTCAAAACATGTATTTAAAATAATTACTAAACAGTAGATCCCCTTTGTTTTCACTTATAGGAAAGCGGCAAGAAACTTGAAGAAAACATCTATTATTTTGGAACTACAGTGGAAGGCTTGCTAAGGAGGTTTGGCAAAGTAATCATGTTTTTTAATAGGATTTTCACGTTGAATAGACTACATCAGAATTCAAAGCTGACAAAATACGGACAGTGGTTTGCTTCACGATGAGCTAGTATTCCTCCTTTATAATACAGTTCCATCTAATATATGAAATAAAAATCTGTGGGGATTCTACATTCACCCTTGGTGGTGGTAGACAGCCTCTGCTGAAAGTGCTGTCATAGCTGCAATTAGCTGCAACAGGTGGGAGGAATTGGTGGAGTCCCTGCTGCCCTTAGAATAGTGTAAAAGTCCATGTCATGCATGACACTTAAGGACCATTTACTGTAAGGAGGAAGGGGATAATACATGTGGAAAAGCAAAGAAAATTGAAGTGTAAAAGTTTGTTACAGTGGCTTGACTGGCTGTTCTAAAGGAAGTAAACCGGTGACACAAGCATACATTCTTTTTGGAAATGTACTACATTGTGTTTGGGTGGACATTGCTGGGTAATTGTGGTTTTAAATGATGTAATGGAAGTTGCTACATTTATTTTTTTTAATCTTCTCTAGACTATAGTGGATGAGCAGCTGGTTCTGAAGAGAGTGGCAGATATCTCCATTAATATGTATGCAATGACAGCAGCTATATCCAGGGCTAGTCGATCCATCAGTATTGGTCTACGCAATCATGATCATGAAGTGAGTGCACTTATATTTTCTAGGACTGACTAATGGGTGTGGTCACACCCTTTCAATATCCCATCTAAAGAGGTCTGTTGAAACCAGAGTTTTCTATGGAGAACTGCAGACCCTGCTCCTGGAACCCTGTACCTTAACTCAGTAAGTTCTAGAATCGTCCAGAGAGCAGAGACCTTTGTATCTGTATTCATAGCTGCTGCAGATTGGAATGTTAGATCCTTTCTCTCCTCCACTGAAGCAATGGTTCTGCATGCTCCGTGTAACAGGATAGACTTCAAGGAGCAAATCCCATCCTGCATATATTCTTTGAGTGTGGGCCTTCAGATAAACCAGGGAAAATCCACTTTCACTTCAACAGAAATGTACCCCTATCCTTCAGAATGCTGTTGGGCTGCCAGATTTTTATAAATTGAGACAATACACATTAGCATCTCAAGTTTTGGAAGGCCACAGAAGAGACTTTTTGTTGTACTGCTATAACAGTTAAATGAAAATGAGATTTATAAAAACAGGTTCATCACAGAATATAGAACACAGTTGTTCACAAATAAAACTGACAATACAGCAAGAGGTTTCTAATTTTCTGATGGATGTTACATTAAATAATCTTAAATACTTCTCAGATAGGAGAGGTAAAGAAATAGGGAGTATGGAGTAAGTTAACCAGCTTCCACAACTTCTAGTTTGTGATCTTTGTACACAAATGATATTTTATGAATTATTAAAACTGACATAGTAATCCAAGTATTTAAGTGTTCTCTTTAAAAGTTTTCAAGTTAAAGAGTGTGGTATTAAACACACAATTTTCTGATGTTCCTGTCAGGGTTTTTTCCCCCAGACTTAAGGGGTGGGAGATCTAAAATAATTAAAACTTCAGTCTTTAATGAACTTGGTATGTGAAATTTTTTTTGTAAGTCACATCTGGATTTGTAACTGCGTGCCCATCTTCTAGTCACTGTTGGGTGATAGGGTCATTCCATTTACTGGAAGTAGTCGCTGTGGAAAAAATGGCAACCCATTAGCATTCTTCCCACTTGAATCAGTAGAAAACTAGGCTCCATACCAGGGGTCTCAAACACATGGGCCGCATGCTGTGGCCTGCCAATCTCCCTGCGGGCCCTCCCCCTTCTCCCCCCCGGAGTTATTTCCTGCGGCCA